TAGTTCTAAGGAAGGGTCACCGGACCCGAAACGTTAACTCTGTTTTCTCCTCCACAGATGCTGCCAGACCTGCTGAGCTTTTCCAGCAACTTTGTTTTTGTTCCTGATTTACAGCATCCACAGTTCTTTTGGTTTTTATTTAGCACTTATTTGATATGTACAAATCCTAAAACTGCTTCCACCATTTTAACAGCTTCCACTGGCAATTTGACAGATATCCCACAGTTGCTGGTCCTCCTTTCGTAGGCCGAGAAATTTAGCTAAATGGCTTCCATGAGCTACCAACCATCTTATTGAGACCAAGGATTGCGTGTGCAGGTTTGAAACAGGGGTTTGGTCCTTTGCACACTGAAAGGTCTGAAGCCCAATACTGAGAGTGCGTTCGGCATGTTATATCTTCCTCTGCCCCTCCCCTGTGCATTCCCAAGAAAAGATACATGCCTGAATTTCTCACCTGTTATTTCTAGGTTATTTGCAAGAGAAGTTAGTGCATGATACTCTCAGGCATGAAAGTTTATTATCAGCCTCCATATACTGGCATGGAGTGGGTTGGAGAGAGAGGCTCCATGGGGTGTTTGGTGGGCTGAGGAGCATTGGAGGACCTCTCACCCATTCTACTAGTCCCAATGATGCTCAGACATCAGAGTTTTCAGCAGCATGTGGCAGACAGGTACCTAAGGTGCTTCTCTTGGGCATGGGCATCTGAGAGCTGGGTCAGCACCTGGGCTATCAAAGGTAAATAATCCAGCCTTCCACCTAAGATTCTGGACCTTACATTTTGGGAAAGTTCAAAATGGATTTGCAATTTGACGTCGTTTTTAGGGAAACCTTGATTTCTTCCATTACAGATTTTCTTAATGCTCTTTTTTGTCACACTGCTGCACCGTTTTTTTAATATGTATACAGAATCAGAAAATTGTTGTGGTGCAGAGTGAGGCCATTTGGCCCAAGGTGCCTGCACCAATTTTATTTCTAGAGCCAATCTCGTGCTTTTCTGCATATCCCTGCACATCAAACAATTTCTATCCAAATACAGTAATCCAATGTCCTTTTGAATTCCTCAATGAAGCTGCTGCCACCACAATTCCAGACAGTGCAGTCCATACCCTAACTACTCACTGAGTGAAAAAGTTCTTCCTAAGATTACCCTTTCTTGTTTTGCGCATCACTTTAAATCCACAGCCCCTCATCTGTTCTTCTTCTTCAAGCGGGAACAGCTTTTCCCCATCTACTCTGACCAGACCGCATATTATTTTAAAAACCTCTGTCAAATCTCTTCTCAGCCACTTCATCTCCGAGGAGCACAGTCCCAACTTCTTGAACCTATCCTCATAACTGAAGTTACTCATTACTGGAACCATTCTTGTGAATCACTTCTGTACTCTCTCCAATGCATTTACATCTTTCCTATAATGGGGCACACAGACTGGTACATAATACACCAGCCTAGGTCTAACAAGTGTTTTGTGTAAGTTTAATGTCACCTCCCTGCTACTGTACTCCATGCCCCTATTAATAAGGCTTAGATACTGCATGCTTTATCACTGCTCTCGCTACCTGACCTGCCACCTTCAGTGATCTGTGCATTTATACAACTAGGTCCCTGTGCTTCTGTAGCCCTTTTTGAATTGTACTCCTACGTTATACTGTCTTTGTGATTTTCCAACCAAATTGCACCATCTCCCTCTTCTCTGCAGTGAACCTCATTTACCACTATTTGCTGACTCCACCAATTTGTCCTTATTATTCTGGAGTTCCACATTGACCTCCTCAGTTCCAAATTCTTCCAACTTTAGTGTCATCTCCAAACTTTGAAATTGTCCCCTGCACACCATTGATCCAGATCAATGACATATATCAGGAGAAACCAGGCTCCCAGTACTGATCCCTGGGGGTTCTTCCTCTTCCGGCCTTAAAAAAATCTGTTGACCATGTCTTTGTGATTCCTACCACTCAGCCAATTTTGTATCTACTTTAACAGTACCTGTCAATTGCACTTTATATTACCTGTCAGTTACACTTAACAGTAATTCATACATCCTTAAAATAAATATTGTGATTGTGATGCTTCATTAAACTCATCAGTTACAAAAGGCTGGGATTCCAAATTTATTTTTGAAACTATGCCTTAGTTTTAGTTTCTACCTGATCCTGCCTCTATTATTTTAAAAAAAATGTCTTGCTTATTCTATCCCAAGTAATTCAGTTTGGGTATAATCAGGAGAGTCCATTTAACTTTTTTTTTGTGTTGATGGTGAACAGATGAAAGTATATTCCTCTGATCCCAAACTAGTGAACCATAGGCTTGACATGACTTCTGAGGATGAAGCTGCAATAGTTTGCCCAGGATTCCACAACAGACTGCTATGCAGTGACCCCTTCTGAAAAGTGAATGTATCCAGCGAGAAATGCAAGGATTGATATCCAACACAGTTTGGTTCATCTCACTCGCTGTCTTGGTTCGCACATGTAAATTGGGTAATTGTGGTATACTGATGTGAACTGAACAGCAAAGAAACAAGAGGATATTAGAAGGGGATGATAATGTGTGTTGTTACATGGTAAAAGCAGCGAGGGCACTTTCTAATTATACATTTTTGTGGGAAAGACAAAAGAAATAAAGATGGTAAAAAAAAAATTTTGAATTTTCACCGTGTTACTTTAAAACTACTTCAATATCCGGAGCATCAGGTGTTTTATATGTAGCCCAGTTGTACCTTTTCTGTTTCAGAATGCATACATTGCAACTGCAATCAATGGGACAAATTTCTGTACCTCGGCTAAAGAAGCTTTCTTTCTGATTGTAAACAATGCGCTGAATGTGGCAACGATCAACTGCTTTGGAGACTTTCTTCTGTTTCTTGGAAAAGTGAGTATTTTAATGACCACTGAGAGGCTGCCACTTGCATGCTGTGAAAGTGAAGGGTTTTGCTAAATATTGGTGTTTACTGTGAATCATTCTTTGCTTTGCTATTCTCACAACTAAGAATATGTCTCCTGTAAAGAGATAAAGTTGTCATACTCTTACTAGACCATTGGGCTGATCTCTCATTAGAGAGAGGTGATCGGTGGTGATTTAACCTTAAAGGTCACCATACCTCAGGCAATGGGATAGGTTGAGAAGGAGAGTCCTTCATAGTAACCTCAGCAGGTGTGGGAATTGAACCCACGCTGTTGGCATCACTTGTTATTCTTACTGGGATCAGTGTGACATTCTCTATTACTTAGAGTTCAAAACTTTTAATTATATTGGGCAGATCAATGTCTCACTGAATACTTGATAATAGAACTAATCCAATATCATTAAAGTAATATCATACATAAAAATTAAAACTTGCGTCAAATACTATGAGGAGCTTTGGAATTTTAAATGAAAGGTTGCATGTAAAGCAGGTTATTGTTGCAGACCATGGTCGAGCTTGTAATCAAAATGGGACTGTAACAAAGGGTGAATTGAATCCTTATTTTGGTTGTGCAACAAAGCTTTATGTATAATAACCAATAGCCGATGGTAAAATCAAATAGGCTGTTGAGAAAAGTAATATAAGGTCAGAAGTCACACGATACCGGGTTATAGTCCAGCAGGTTTATTTGAAATCACAAGCTTTCGGCTTGCCAGATGAAGGAATAGTACTCTGGAAGCTTGTGCTTTCAAATAAAGCTGTTGGACCACAACCTGGTGTCGTGTGACTTCTGACTTGTCCACCCCAATCCAACCGCAGCACCTCCACATCATGGCTACTAGCAAAAGTGATATAGCTAGACGTTGGTAAGGCCATATTTGGAGCACTGCATGCAGTTCTGGTCACTCTAGTATGAAAAGGATATAATTAAACTAGAAAGAGTGCAGAAAAGATTTACTAGGATGCCTTCTGGACTGGAAGATTAGAAGAGGCTGGATAGACTGGATCTTTTTCCCTGGAGTGTAGGAGACTGAGGGGTGACCTTATAGGGGTCTATAAAATCATGAGAGACATAGATAGGGTAGATAGCCAACAGCTTTTCTCCATGGTAGGGCAGTCTAAAGCTGTAGGGCACAGGTTTAAGGTGAGAGGGGAGAGATGCAAAAAGGTTCAGAGGAGCAATTTTTTCACACAGTGGGTGGTGAGTGTCTGGAATGGGCTGCCAGAGGTAGTGATGGAGGTGAGTACAATTTTGTCATTTAAGAAACATTTGGATAGGTTCATGGAGGGATATGGACCAATGCAGGCAAATGGGACTAGATCAATTGTTGAAACTGGGCAGCGTAGACAAGTTGGGCCGAAGGGCCTAGTTCCATGCTGTAAACCTCTATGACTCTAACCTGCTGCAATCTTCTTAATCAGTATGTTTTGTATCATTTTTAAAGCTGCATCATTCAGAGATATAGGCCCCTGTGATTGGTATTGGCGATATAAATAAACTGCAATCTAGAATCTGAAGGCCAAACCCATTCTATTACAGCACTGAGGGAATGTCACATTCTCAGAGTTGTCTACTTCAGGCAAGGGATTGAAACTGTCTGGCTGCAGCAGTTCTTGAGGTAGATTTTAGAAATTACTGTTGCATAATTTAGGGAAGATGCACGTTTGCCACTTGTCCTGACTTTTGTTTCGATCTTAACCGAGACTGGTTCCACAACAATCCTACTCTTACCCAACCTTCTTGATTGTGTTTCCCTGAATGGGTTGACAGAGAAGTGTCAATAATAGCTAGACCTTCCTCTTCTAACTCATGTCAAACGTATCAACCCAAGTGCTGTCTCAAGATTAACTAACTCAACAAAAACAGGAAGGAATGTAGGGTGAAAAATTAGAGGGATTGCCGAGTGTTAATTCAATAACTCTTCATGGTTAGAATGATTCAGCTGTGATAAACCCACTGGGCAATTAAATATATGAAGTGATGTTTCCAGTGAATTTACTGTGAGACCTCACATGGAAAAATGGCCACTTTAGTGAGGTACCAGGAAGGCAACCAGCTTGCTATATCCCAACAAGGAGAAAATAAATTGACCAAGAAAATGTAGTTATGCAAATAGTCATCTTTAGTGAGTAGCGGAAATTTGCGTGATGTTTGTCTCAGTAACATGCATCAATATGTTTTGTTCTTTTCAGGTATTTGTTGTGTGTTTCACAGTCTTTGGAGGCCTCATGGCATTTAACTACAATCGTGATCTGAATGTTTGGGTAGTCCCACTTATTATGGTGTCCTTTTTTGCCTATTTGATGGCACATTGCTTCTTGTCCGTATTTGAAACGGTGGTGGATGTCTTGTTCATGTGTTACGCTGTTGATCTGGCAACGAATGATGGGTCAACTGAAAAGCCTTACTTCATGGACAAGGAGTTAATGGTGAGTATTAAAGGCTAATTTCCACTCCCTCATTCTGGAATAAATCAAAATGGGGTTGGAGACGAGGGGAGTTGCACTGAAACATTCTACAGCGTTCAAAACCCAGAGGGACCTGATGAATTCTGACTTGAAAGCCCCTAAAACACCTGGGAAAATCCAATAAACAGGGCAACTCATCAGAGAAAAACTCAGCAACATACACAACTGTCAGAATTTCTGAGGAACTGTTCCTCCGATCACAGGCTCTTTCTCTACTGTGCTAGTTACTGATAGGCTCACTGGTGGTAAAGGTGGAGAAAGAAGGTGGAGAAAGAGAGACTGCAAAGGAGAGAGAACAGTTTTCAACCAATCAATGAAGGAATACTCAGCTAACTAGGAACTGGCAAAACTGTATTTCACTGGAGTAAATATTTGTTTGCAAACAAATGTGGAAGCTCCAGTTTTCAGGAGCTACTGTATTGTGAAAAGATGATATTGTAACAAACACACTCAATTGTTAAATTTAAATCTAAGATTGAGATCTGAGCTGAAGAAGGGTAGTAACTGGCTAAAATTTTACAACTTTTTGCATAGGAAATGGCAATACATTAGGTGTGACCTCACCAATTGCTGGAAGATTTGTCTAGGATGATAGCTATTTGTATATAGAAGTGTGTCAGTTATTTCAGATTTTTGTTTGTTGATCCTACCTGATGGTAATACTAAAGTCAAATACTTAATTGAAAGCTGGCTTAATGGGATCATAATGAATCATTTATTTTTGCAGTTTGAGGTTGTTGACTTGTTGCCAAGCTGGCTTGTTCTCATTCAGATGTTTCATCACCATGCTAGGTAACATCATCAGTGGAGCCTCCGATGAAGCGGTGTTATTCTACTCCACTTGGAATTTATATTTTTGGTCCGTTATGGTGAGGAGCGTCATTTCCGGTTTTGATCTGTATGGGTTTGTACATGGGGTCCAATTCTATATGTTTGTTGATTGCATTACGGGTGGAGAACCATGCCTCTAGGAATTCCTGTGCGTGCCTATGTTTGGCTTGGGCTACTATGGTTACCTTGTCCCAGTTAAATGAAGGCCATCAGTTTAACTGGGACAAGGTAACCATAGTAGCCCAAGCCAAACATAGACATGCAGGGGAATTCCTAGAGGCATTGTTCTCCACCCGTAATGCAATCAACAAACATATAGAATTGGACCCCATATATAAACCCATACAGATCAAAACCGGAAATGACACTAATCACCATAACGGACCAGACAGTATAAATTCCAAGCGGAGTAGAATAACATTGCTTCATCGGAGGCTTCACTGATGATGTTACCTAGCATGGTGACAAAATGTCTGAACGAGAACAAGCCAGCTCGGCGAGCAAGTCAACAACCTCATCCACAACCCGAGCTACAGATCTTCGCCAAAACTTTGAATTTTTGCAGTTTGTCGCTGAACATATTCGCATGAGGCTACCAATTGAAATTAACAAAAGAACAAGTTTACTTACTCCATGAAAAGAAAGCTATATACAAATAAGACAGTTTATAAAGATCCTGACATAATTAACAAAATAATGCAGTCTTGTTCACTGCAGCATCCTGTACAGATACTTAATCCGAGTTCAGTATTACTTTTATCTTAGCCAGCCAAGTTAAAAAAAAATTTAAAAACATTTCCAGTTCAGAGGGCTTGAATTCCTTTTCAAGGCTGATGTCCTAAAAAAAAACTATCCAGTTCCAATGGTCTGAACCTGTTTTAATTTCTGACAGCTTGAAGACTTCACTAATGACCTGCAGTTCTGCCCAGCTGAAACTATTCTTTTAAAATGAAAACCAGATTCTCCTGAACAGAAATTTGCTTCTCAACTCAAACCAATAGTGGCTATGCTGTATGTCATAAAAGATCAAGCTCCAGGACATCAATGTAAGAGTTCCTCAGGGTGGTGTTCTAGATCAAACTACTTTCACATCCTCGTCAATGACCTTGCCTCCTTTCTAAGGTCAGAAATGGAGATGTTTGCTGATGATTGCACTAAGTTCAGCACCATTCACTACTCCACAGATGATAAAGCAGTTCACACCTAGAGTAGCAAGTCCTGGACGATATCCAGGTTTGGGCTAACAAGTAGCTTAGCCCTAAGTGCTAGTCATTGACTAGGTCCAAAGAGAACCAAATTTCCAAGTCATCTCCCTTTTTTTTATATTGACTCCTCCTCCTGCTTTCTAATTTTTGAGCCTGAGATCCAGGATCCTGTAACATTTCAACTACTTCTACTTTTTGTTCCAAATCCCTAACTGACGTGAGTTTAAATATCTCACGTCAACATAGATTCAAAAGGTATTGCTACTCCTTGATTGCATCACCGAATAAGTTAGTAACAATGAAAAAGGAGCCCCTGATAACCAAAAGGTAGCCCCAATGAAATCTCAAAAGCCCTCAAAAAAAGTTGATTGATTGATTGATTTTATCATCATGTGTACCAAAATACAGTGAAAAGCTTTGTTTACGAGCGGTATAGGCAGATCACAGCAAGCATGTACAGATCAAAAAAACTAAGTTTAAAGTTTAACCCGTAAACTACTGTCTTCAAAAATTAACTTGCTACTCAAAATGTTAGGCACTCACAAACTGAATGAAATGTAACATCCTAGATATTGTTGCACTTTAGAAAAGCACCTTGTACAGAAATATTGAAAGCTCACAAATGTCCAATTATAATTTCATGAAACATTGCTTCAACTCAATTTGAAATTACGTGTATTTTTAATAAGTGCAACAAATAACTTTCCTGTTGCTCTCTGGATTCCTTCCAGATCAGCATATTAAGAACTATCAGACCACTTGTGTGTGTAAACACTGACTTACTACTTCAATAACTCAGAAGAGCAAACATAGTTACTGTGCCATGAACTGCAACTAATGACTGGCACTTAGCTCATGCTCATTAATTTCAGGAATGAGAGACTTTCTGGGGCAAGGCATCCTTTCAACAACTTTGCTGAAGTTGCTTTTTATTAAATTATTGATTTATGCTCCAAATGATGGTCCGTGGGACCTTGAAATATTTGTATTGGTTTACTACCAAGGCAAAGAAATGTTAGGAGTGAAGGCCCATTTAATAATTGGCAGCACCTGCATTCTGTGTGTTTGTGTGTGTCTGGTCACCATGCTGCCATAACAATTACAGGTTTATTTTGACTTTTTATAGGCATAAAAAAACGGGAAATATGATTTGTTCTAAGAACTCTACTTCTCTAATACTTTTGCTGTTTTCTAGGAATTTATTGGTAAAAGCAATCAAAAATATAAGAGGATTAGTCGAAATAACACAGACAAGCTGGAAAATAACCAAAACGCAACACAACTACTGCCAATGGTCAGTGTAATAATCTGTTCCAGAGTATGTTAAACGGCTGCACAGGCACTTCAGTTCTAAATCCTCTTAAATGATGTATGTTGTGAATTCCATGTATTTAAAATAAAATAAATGAGGTGGATATAATTTTATCTGTCACTAAACAGCAGGTATGTTCCTAAGTTTGTGCTTGAAGTTATAGGTATCCATGCATTAAGTGTTATGGACTAAGTTTGCCTGAAAAAACTACAGTATTTAAATTGACAGTTTGAAGGTAGGGGCTCATCTTATCCATTCTACAAAGAGCTGGGGGTTTTAAGTTGTGCTGTTAGCAATGGCTTCCAATAGGAAACAGAACTCAAAAACTTACATTTATGTAGCAACTTTTCAATAGGAGATGGATAGACTATTTGGCTATTGTAAATGGAGAGATCAAGAAGTAGTAAAGTACAGTTAGTCATGAGAAATGAAATTGGTGACTTCAACCAAAGGAGGAGAATTAGAATTGTTCTGAAGGGATTTAGACAGGAAATTATGGGGAGCAATGGCACACAAAAACCTGATGAGAGAATGGAACATTAGACATGGGGTACGAGTTGAGGGTGGGTTTTTGAGAATAGTAGCTGTATAATGTCAACTTTGGCATAAAGAAAAGATCTGGATTTGGTTTTTAGTGAAGGAGATTCTGATAGGAGCGTGCAAGAAGCTACAGGGTTTTTTTTTTTAAAAAGTCAGGGTTAGGAATAAAAGGGAAGCTGGAGTGACTGGAAAATATATATATGCACCTCATACTTTGTTGCAGATGAGGATGGAGATATTTTGTTAAGATTCTGAAATTGTGCTTGATCTCCAGGGTAACGCTCAGAAGCGAGATGCATGCTGTTACTTGAGATGGACAAACCACATTTGGTTGAACAACCAAGCTAATCAAATTCCAGGTGCACTCTAGTCTGCAGCCCTCAGATATGTAGGTGAGCATAGTTCAGTGTAGATGGGCGTGCTTTACCATCAATGCATAGAATTGGGAACATTACTGAACAGCGCAAAAGTGTTAAACAATTTATACAGCAAAAACACAGCTGATGTAGTCTAGCCAGGATTTTCTGGTCACCTGCCCCATAGAATCAATAAAGAGCAGTCATAGGTGATATGGCAGCTACATATGCAAAACCACAGTAACTTATGAAATCCTGTCCTTGCCACGTTAAAATGTTCATTGAGCATAAATATTTTATTGTGTAGTTAATGTATAGTTCCAGACATCACACCTACAAATTAAAATGTTATTCTTTTGTTTACAGGGCACAAATACAGCTTGATTGGTCTCGATTGAATTGGATAATCAACATTCAGACATTTTCATTTGATTGCTGCAAGCTAACTGGAGAACTGAGCTCTACTAGCAATTGTCTCGTCCACGCAGATGTATTTTGATACATTGAGCAATAATTTTTTTTTAAAGAATGTTTTGTTGTTGTTCAGACACTCACCAGATGCTGTAACACCCATATCCCTTTCATAAGCTGAAGTGTGAGGAATGCAGGGACCTTATGCTATTTAATCCACAGAGAGCTAGTATAAAACAGAATTTCTTATATTCACAGGTAACATGCCCAATGATATTAGCTCTAGGTTGGTTCCAAATGTTTCCCCAATGTCCACTAGCTGCCTTGCTAAATGACTGGAAATGCTAACACCTATCTTCTGGGGAAATGAATATATTGACTGAAAATGTTATCTTTAAAGAATATTTTTAAAATGTGTTAATTGAGCTAACATATTGATGGATTGATTTCAAATACTGGGTAAGCAACGGCCTTGTGGTATTATCGCTAGACTTAATTTAGAGACCCAAGTAACATTCTAGAAACTGGAGTTTGAATCCCATCATGACAAATAATAATCTGGAAATAAGTTGAATGATGATCATGAAAAACCCATCTGGTTCACTAACATCTTTTAGGGATGAGAATCTGCCATCCTTGCCTGGTTTGGGCTTCATATGACTCCAGACCCACAGCAATGCAGTCGACTCTTACCTGCGCTTTGGGAAATTAGGGATAGACAATAAATTCTGGACCAGCTAGAGACATCCAGATGCCATGATGAATTAAAAGCAAAACAGAAATTATTAAATACATAAATATTTTCATTGCTATTTCAAAAATTTCAAAAAAAAAAAGGCTTCTGACTTCTACAATTAAAAAAATACAAGTTTACAATTAAAAAAATGTTTTGAAAGTTTTAATATTAACATTAAAGTCTTTTTATCTGTAATATGATGTTGTAATAAAACATTAACATTGCTTTCTGATCCCTTCTATCTTTATGAATACCAGCAGCCCCCACCCCTCCGTCATGTTAATGCTCAAGCCTTGAAGTCCTGTTTGAGCTGTAGTAGCGTGCTTTTTTCTGTAATATGGGAGGAAATACACACAAAGGGTGTTAGAGGTTTGGAACTCTTCCACAAATGGCTTTTGATGCTAAATCAATCAGTTGTTAGTTTTAAATGAGAAATTTTTGTTAAGCAATGGGTATTAAAGGATATGTGCCAAAGGTAAGTATACAGAGTTAGACCACAGATCAGCTGTAATCTCAGTGAATGGCTAAACAGACTCAAGGGACTGAATGGCCTATTCCTGTTCATATGTTTCTTATGAAATTAAAATGAAATTAACAGCCTTGACTTGCTATGAAAAATGGTACTGTGTGTATTGTGAATTGTGTGTAATTCAAGTTTAATGTCTTCAAGTTTGATGTTAAATTAATATCAAACCTATGTGCTTACTAGTCCTAAGCAGGAAAAAATACACTTGGTAAGATGTAGATGTTAAAGATTTTTTCACTTATAAAACTGCCTTTAGTACTAATACTTAATGAGTCACTTCTATTTGATCATCTACATTACAAATATTTCACTCAACTGAGCACAAAAGCTTACTTAGATTGAGTAACCCCAATGTTAGCTTGACATTGTAATTTGAAGATTTTATATTTCATAAATGAAGCCATGGATAAGCCTATCCTTTCAAAGGACATTACAATTCATGCATTACAAGAGTTCATTTAAGAAATGCAAGAGAGTAATGTACTTTTTTTAAAAAACCCATTGATATTAACGGATGAAGCCCTTTTTAGTAATGTATCATAGTACAGAACAATTCGTTAAAATACTGTTTATTCTATAGCAAATCTCAGTGAATTTAAATTTGTGTCTCATATTAAAAGTTGCCATTATTGCAATGGATGAAGAATTGTAAGCTCTTACGATTTACACACTAGCATTTCAGCTCAAATGCCAGTTGTACTAAAGTCAGTCTGCTTTATCCTGCATGTACAAATGATATTGGGGGAGTCTCAACAGGGTGAAAAACAGTGTGCTTAAACAGATTTGTTTTAACCATCTCACAAAGTATGTGCACATTAATTTCAGATCACATAAGATTCACAGATTTTCTCAATGATAAAATCTAAGTGTCAAATCTAGTGGAATTCCCCAAGTGTTTTTTTTAATGTCAATGATTCTCATTTGTATTTTTTGAAAAACAAGATATAGAAAGTTATTCAAGGGGCTAATGAGAGAACATTCTTGTCCTATCTCTATTGTAGTAGTACTGGTACTTTGAGACTAATTTGCATGTCCTTTGTACTCTCAATAACCTATAAACAGAAGGCAGTTATTCTGGCTATGCCCTAAAGAACGACATACAAAAAAATAGCACTGGTTGAATGTGGTGGTAGATGAAGAGTTGAGAAGCCCAGGACTAAAGAAAATGATGTACATTTGTACAGCGTCTTTCATGAATGTAAAGCATCTGATGCCAATAAAGTGTAATCACTTTTCTAATATAGAATATGCATTTTAAACTAGGACTTTACTGAGTGGATCAATGGCTTAGAGCTCAGTTAAATTGTCCTAGATAGTGGTAAACACTTAACAATAGATGCATTGTTTAGCCTCATTACTACCAGAACATCTAAAAGAAAATGGAACTCAATTTTACCACTCTGCCAGCTATAATCTAGAGTTGGCTGGCTCCCTGCCACTGAGCGGCAACAATGCCATGCTGTGCTAAAGAACCTGAAGCACAAATTCAACCATGAAAACATCCAGCAGCAGAATGCAAGGTCTTAATTAAAATGCCAGTACCTCATTTTAGAAAGTTACTACTTTAATTCTGATCAATCTATGCGTTTAATGTTTTGCATGCTGTTTTAAATGACTACCCCTAAGAAAATTGTGACAGAAGATAGTTTTAGAAAATATTTTCCAAAGGAAATGTCAGGAGATTATGTAAACTGAAATTCCAACAGCTGCTTTCATTACCATCTTACCCACCATACTTTGTTTAGATAGAGTTCCCAATTAAATTACTGATTAAAACTAGTGAACTAGACAACAAAACACAATTGCACAGAATTATGTATTGTTACTGGCTAAAAGTTTCAGTATATTGTTTCCTTCTACTTTTGTAGGAGATAATAGTGTTGAATTGAGAAACTAATGAGTAAAGTATGCAGTATTTGGTTCCATTTGCAACTCTTCAGATAATTAAACCATCCATGCAAGATCACATGGACTGTAGTAATCCTTTCAGGCAGGACACCATCACTTTGTCAAAGACAATTAGAGATGGGCAATTTGAGGCCAGGAGAGGAGTGCGTATGGTATTAATCACTGGGGCCTGTGGTTTTGGCAGGTCTGGTCACAGGCAGTACTGTCCTCAATATGTTTGCCAAAAAAAGGAAAACAGCATGGGCACTGTGCTCTGGGATGAAGTTCCAATCTTGAAATGCGATTGTCCTAGCCCCCGTTTTGACAGAATGCATTCTGGATAATGTACCATCCTGGGTCACTCACTGGCTCTTCCACGTAGGCACTATAGCGTTGAAGAATAATAGTGCTCAATATACACAAAAGGCCCCAATTCAGGATCTACTGGAATGGGTGAGGAACTGCTCCTCCAATCAGACAGTTTGATTCTTTCACTTGCCTATCCTCCTAAACACAGAAAAACAAAACAGCCTGTGATTAAAATAGCAGTGAGCAGTTGGGAAAGCGAGTAATGACAGTGAGGGAGTCATCAGGAGATCCTGAATCCATGCTGTAGCTGACATTTGCAAGGACCTGGGAGCCTCGAATCGAGAGCCTTTTGCCTGAAGCGGAGGCCAGGAACCTGGGATTGGGTGCCTTTTACCCAAAGCAGGTGTGACTGGGGGACACCTTTTGATTGGCTCGTTTGTTCAGTCTACCATACAGTGGCAGATTGAGTGTGCCTGGATAATACTTGAGTATTTTGTCAGGGAATGGGAGTAGGGAACGAGGTAATTGCAAGAGGCATGTGGAGAGAAGGAGGAGGCAGCAAGAATGGTGAAGGATGGAGAGATGTGGAAAAGGTGGCAGCTGAAAAGACAGGTTAAATAGGAGAAGGTCACTGCAAGGGAAACTGTCCAATAAGTTGATGGAGCAATAGGTTGCAAGGGATGTGCAGAGAAAAGAAGTTTCAGAGTTAGTAGGAACTGCAGATGCTGGAGAATCTGAGATAACAAGGTGTAGAGCTAGTTGAACACAGCAGACCAAGCAGCAGAGGAGTAGGAAAGCTGACATTTCGGGCCTAGACCCTTCTTCAGAAAACTGAAGAAGGGTCCAGGCCTGAAATGTCAGCTTTCCTGCTCCTCTGATGCTGCTTGGTCTGCTGTGTTCATCCAGCTCTACACCTTGTTATCTGCAGAGAAAAGAAGGCTGTTCGTGAACCAAGGAGATTGCAAATGATTTAGGCAGAGGTGGTTAGAGGCAAGAGTAACAGGCATGCCACAAAGGGGTGAGGGAGGGACAGGAAACAGCATGGCTACAGAGATAACAGTTTAAACCTGTCAACAAAGGAACATTCCAATAACTGGGTATTGCTGTTGTTAATGGACTAGCATTCCAAAGACCAAGGGAATGTTTTGGTGACTTGGGTTCAAGTCCCATTACAGTAGATGGTGTTATGTGAGTTCAATAAAATCTGGAATTAAAAGGTGTCAAGTGACTGTGAAATTGTTGGCAATTGTCATAAAAACCCATCTGGTTCACTTAATGTGAGGCCATTCTTACCAGGTCTGACCGAGATGTGACTGCAGGTTAACAGCAACGTGCCTGACTTTTAACTGCCTTCTGAAATAGGCTAGCAACACACTCACTTGCACCAACAATGACAACAGCAAGCTCAGCCCTGTTAGGGCTGCATAATCCTCCTTACTAACTCATCAGAGCTACAGCCAAAGTTGGGCATTGTCTGTCAGGCCTAGTCAAGCAACAGCCTGACAGCCACATTCTCAATATCATACTATACCATGTCCCACACACCAACACTAGCCCTGGTTATGTCATGAAATCAGTCCAGAGGTAGCTCGCCATTGTACACAGGAGGGTGAACGTTACTCGAAGTCTGCAATGTTAACGATCCCATGAAGTTTCATGGCATCAAACCAAGCATGAGCAAGGAAATCTCTGATTACCACATACTTCCACACCCTTGCCAATAGATCAGTATTACTCCATACTGAAGAACACTTGGAGAAAACATCGGTGGCAAGTGCCCAGAATGTATTCTTGTTGAGGGACTTCAATGCTCATCACAAAGAGTGGCTCAGCAGCAGCACTATTGACTAAGTTGGTCGATTCCTAAAAGACAGTTGCAAGACTGGATCTACAGCAGGTGGTGAGGGAACCAACAAGAGTGAAAACCATACTTTAGCTCATCCTCACCAATTTGCCTGTCACAGATTCTTCTATCCATAACAGTACTGGTTGGAGTGACCACCACACAGTGCTTGTGGAGATGAAGTCCCAACTTCATATTGAGGATAGCCTCCAAGGTGATATGTGACATTATGACTATGCTAAATGCAATTGGCTTTGAACAAATCCAACAAGTCAATCAGTGGTACCATGGCCAATCAGCAGCAGCATTTAAAATCCAACACAATCTGCAACCTCAAACCTGGCACATTCCCCACTCTAACATCAAGCAAAGAAATCATACTTGGTTCAATGAGTGAAGAAGGGCATGCCAAGAACAGTGCCTAAAATGAGGTTGTCAACGTGGTGAAGCTACAATGCAGGATCATATACATGCTAAGCATGTAAGCATAAGTGATAGGCAGGGCTAAGTTGTTCTACAACAAATGGATCAAATCAAAGCTCTGCAATCTCATATCAGTCAAGAATGGTGGTGGGCAATTAAACTCACTGGAGGTGTCAACAATAGAAATATTCCCTGCCTCAGTGATAGGAGAGCCCGCCACATTAGTGCACAAGAAAAGGCTGAAGCATTTGCAAAAATCTTCAGCCAGAAGTGCTAAATGGATGATCCATTTCAGTCTCTTCGAGGGGTACTGATGCCAGTCTGTGGCCAATTCAAATCATTCCACATGATATCAAGAATGGGCCAGAGGCACTGGAATCTGCAAAAGCTACAGGCCCTGACAACATTCCAGATGTGTGCTCCAAAACTTGCCATGGCCTTAGCCAAGCTGTTCCAGTACAGCTATAAATGGGCAATCTTCCATATTGTCAGGTAAATGCCAAAGTATGTCCTGCAAATAAAAAGCAAGACAAATTCAAAATGGCTAACTAACACATTCTATCAGTAACACGATAGATGGCATCAACAGTACTATCAAGCAGCACTTGCTTAGAAATAACCTGCTCAGTGACACTCAGTTTGGGTTCTACCAGGGCCACTTGATTCTTGATCTCATTACATCCTCAGTTCAAACATGGACACAACATGAAGATCTAGGCCAGCATTTACGGCTCATCCCTAGTTGCCCTTAAGGTGGTGAACTGCTTTCTTGAACTGTTGCAGTTAATTTTGCAATGGCTTTGCATGTACAAATTTTTGAAACCCTTTTTTTGTTGCTAACATATACCTGTTTTCCCAATTTACATATTTATAGGGTCGAGAAAATTAATGCTAATTTAATAGACAGGTGATGATTATTGTGGATATTGCTGAATTCTAATTCTGCTAATGTACATGTCCAAATGCCCCATACATTAACAGAAATAATGTTACTAAGTGACTGCGTCATCTAATGAAGGTGTTTGTGAGAATCAAAAAGAAGCAATCGAAAACTAATAAGCACCCCCAAAAATCATAAAACAGCTGTAAAGAAAATCAAGGGGATCTCCTGGGGGAAAAAAAATTGCAACCCATTTCCGGTGCTGCAGTATTTCCAGTATTCTCCTCTTATTTGCTCCATGCTGGGCATTTGTAAATGTAGTTACTTACAATTTCAACTGAGAAAATATTTACCATTCAATTGCAAAGGTTATGTTTTCATTACCAAAGCCCAGTTGTGTGAAAAGAAATAACATCATGCAGGTTGATAGCTTAGTACTACTGTGCTGAACTTATTTTGCCATTTTGAAGTAAAACCAGGAGTCATGTGATAGTAAATATATCACTATTAATATTTATCATACAATTGTCATTTGCTGTGCTAGCTGAGAGGTTCAAGTCTCATGGATGATGTAATAGGGGCAGGTTCAAAACAAGCAGAGCTAATGAAATGATGAATGACCAAATTGTGTGTGTGTAATTTTCAAACAAAAGGTTGCAAAAGTGTCACACTGAAATTTCAGTACTTGAATTGGTTTGTAAATAGAATGAGTTGATTTTTAAATAGAATGAGTACAGACGCATAGAAAGTATAGTGTACAGAAACCTACATAAAACAGTTCAGTTCCACTTTGACTTTGCATTGCAATTCTAGCTGCTGAAAGCATGTGAAGCAGAGGATTAAACACTTGGGTGGCGATAGAGGAACAGCTGAAACTGGGCCCCTGATTTTCTCCCTGGCTCTACAGCAATAAATGCTGGCCTAGCAACAATGCCAAAATCCCATAAAATATAAATGAAAATTAGTTTGTTTGCTTCTGTTCTACATGTTGTTCAAAAGGTTTGTAGATGAACAGGCTACACTCCAATTCTTTTTGCCCTGATAAACATAGCAGCAACTCCAGTGTTCACGGCTATAGGTTACCACATGGGCACCAATTGCTCTTACAGTTATGGTGAAGACTTTACTAATACACTATTTAAATAATTCATTCATCATTAAATATTAGCTTCTATAAAGGCAAAAGCTTTTTCAATGCAAATACATCCACACTGCAGTTTGTGAAAGTACTAAATTCAGGTTCTAGTCAGGCACAGCTTCATTTACAATGACTGTTGGAAAATCTCATGAAGCCATCTCCACGCTTGAGTTGACAGGATGCAGCTCTCCCCAAAGAGATAAAATCAACATTCAGAAACAGAGAGGAGATGATGATACTGTAACATTCTCATGTCCAATTGAATATTTAAATAAGCAATGACAGCATGAGTAGGCCAAACTGCCCTTGACCTTTCTCCAGAATTCAATAGGATTATGGATGCCCTGATTTTGAACTCAACTCTACTTTCCTGTCTGTGCCCATTAACCCTGTTGCTTTGTAGATCAAAAACCGGTCTAACTCAGCGTTTGATATATTCAGTGACCTAACTTCCACTGCTCTCTGTGGTGCAGATTTCCAAACATTACCTCAGAATCTTCTGTTTCAGTTGGATCACCTCTCAATATTCTAAACATCAAAAGCTATAGGCCTGAAGTGTACAACTTTTCCTCATTAAGACAAATCCTTTATCCCAGGAATCTGCCTAAGCCTTCCATGAACTGTCTCCAATGCAAATATATCCCTCCTTAAATAAAGAAACCAAAACCACATGCAGTACTCTAGACACTGTCCCATTAATACAGTGTACAGTTATAATACTTTTATATTTCGTTAGGTGGATAAGCACCTAAGCACTGTGAAAATCTGATTTGACACTGCACTGGATTTACCAGTCATTTTATGTCAAAACGGTATATACAAAGCGCTTCGAGGATGGAGTGTCTCTATTCTTCCTTCCAGAGTCAGATCATGTTCCTTTTCTCCCCATGGCACTGACATGAGCAGTTGTGTCTTCAATGAATGCTAAATTGCTTTGCACCGACACTAAATTTATCAATGATACCAACACGTTTATTTTCCACTAAATACACAGGAACAGAAAGTTGGACAAAAACAAAGTTGCTGGAAAAGCTCAGCAGGTCTGGCGGCAAATAAAGTTAACGTTTTGGGTCCAGTGACCCTTGCTCAGAACAGGTCACCGGACCTGAAACGTTAACTCCGTTTTTTCCTTCACAGATGCTGCCAGATCTGCTGAGGTTTTCCAGCGACTTTGTTTTTGTTCCCGATTTACAGCATCTGCAGTTCTTTCGGTTTTTATAGAGAAAGTTGGACAGTAGGCCTGCTCTGCCAGTTAGTGTGATCATGGCTGATCATCTAAATCAGTGCCCTGTCCCCAGTTTCTCTTCATACCCTTTAATCCCTTTAGCCCTAAGAATTATATCTATCACCTTCTTGAAAGCAATGTTTTGGCCTCAACAACATTGCGGCAGAGAATTCCACAGCTTACCAGTCTCTCGGTGAAGAGATTTTTTCCATCTAAATGGCCTACACTGTGTCCTTAAGTCGTAGCCCCGGCTATGGACTTCCTGGTCATAAGGAACATTCTTCCTGCATTTACCCAGTCTAATCCTGTTAGAATTTTATAGCTTTCTATGATACCTCTTCATTCTTCCAAACTCCAGCAAATATAGATCTAATCAATCCAGTGTCGTCCCATATGTCAGTCTGGCCAACCCAGGCATGCATGGTACAGTCAAGATTTCAGCCTTTGTAGCATTTCTGGCTCATATCGTATTTAAACTATTCAAATGGTACAACTGATTGAAATACAGGTACAGCACCTCAAATAAGACTACCTTGGGACAGAAGAGGTGTTAAATTTTGAGACTTGACAGTTTTCAGTGGCAATAATCCAACATATTGGTATGTTGTGTAAATTGCTCAGTAAGGGCTGTGCAATATAAACATCATTCTTAACAAGAAACCTTACTTTAACTATTGGGTACGCTGCAACTCTGATGCAACTTTGTAATAGTTCCAAGTCAGATGCTCTTCTAAATGATAAAAAATGATAAATGCATTAAAATTTCATTTAGAAATTAACAGATCTGAAACATTTCAGATTACATGTTTTGGTCCTTAAGGGTTTGAGAATGGAGGGGTACATTTTGAGACTCATTTCAAGAATCAAAATCAATAACTAAATTTTCATCAGCAATTACTGCAAAAAATCAATATTGATTACATATAATGGAAGGTTAGTTAACTCTTCTTTATAATAAAGAGTACATTGTGTGGCTCAGTTACACAAAAAATAAATTGCAATTCATACTGACGTAGATTATTCACTTAGGAATTAATCAAATCTAAAAATGAACAAAATGAACAACTTGCACTATACAGTTCTTCAACACGGAAAAGTGTTCCAGAGCCACAGCAAAAAAAAATCCAAAAAGGATAGACAATTATTTCTAAGCAGACAAGTTGTCTCTATAGTAATTTTTATTCACAAAAATTAACCATACACAAAGACATTTATGCCAAAGAAAATGGCAATAAATACAAAAATGAGGAGAGAATTCCTACATGGATAAAATATGGCACATAAGTAAAATACACTTAATCTAGAGCAAAAATGGGAAAAAAAAGCACTGCATTTCATAAAGTCCCTTTTTAGTACAGATAGCTGTTCAATCATCTAACTTTGCAAATCGTTTCAGTCACTTTATTTGGTTAAATGTAGTGAGAAGAATGATTTCAATTTTCAATTACATATTTTTGCCTCCACACAGACAATATCCCAATGGTACTAAACAATGCATTACATTGAGGTGAATTGTTTTAAACTTAAGATTATTACCCTACATATTGCATAACTAAATTTGTTGTCTTAACAATTCAGAACGTAAAGGTTTAAGGCAGGATTAGCTTTTAAGATTTGAATCCCAGTACTTTAACTTTGATCCCATTGTAGTTTTGAACAGGCCCTTTTCTTATTTGCAGCTGTCATGTGCCATTTCACTTCTAACCTTAGAAGAGTCATTATCCATGAACATGACATTCTTCCCAGTTTTTATTTTAGGTTGTGCATTTGAAATGGCATTGGTCCCATACAAAAAACAATTATGAAAAGTTAGAACAAAATATAAGACTAAAGGATATGACAAACAGCTAGCTGTAAATGCAGATTTAAATTGTTTCAGCTCCTAATATTTGAAACTACATCATAGCTGACAGCAACTTGGTGTAGCAAATAATGGACTGTGTTTCCTCCCAGAATCCAATCAAACATACTATGCAAGGTGACGGCAATTAAAGTCAACACAACAGTTTTTAATTGTAGGAAGGTGCCAGGTATGATTTCTAAATGCTGATTTTTTTTTCTTTTAAGTCCAAGTGACATTGAATTGTCTCCAGTAGTTAGAAGTGGTAATTACTGTCACCAGCAAGTGGTAATAAAAAGGATAGAAAAGCAAGACAGCAAATACTGCTTTTATGGATTAGCTGTGCAGAGAAAAAAGGCAGCAATCCAATCTTTTGGACCTTTAAATTCATGGAAGACTGTGTAGCAAAACCAAAGCTGTCTAGCTAGTTCACAAAGGCATAATGGGTCATAATACTGCTCTTTAATAATCAACACCGTGATCAGAATATTCAGCACGGTAATCTCCTTGGTACTCATCCTGATACTCTAGGGGATAATCATCAGGGTATTCACCTTGGTAATCTCCATCACTGTATTCTGAACCATTTGTTCCCTGGCTTCCATTGTGGATTATAGGCTCAGTTGGTGTGGCACAATATTTGGAGTCGTACACCTGCCGTCCAAGGCCATATACAGTCATGCCTGTTTGAGAAGCTCCTTTGTTAGTGCCCATCTGCAGCGATATTGTTGAAGTGTCACATTTCTCTGTCGACACTTTTTGGTCATAGATGTGTCTTCTGGTACCCGGGGCTGTCATACCAGCCTAGAAAGAACAGGAGAGGTTGGAATTAAGAATGCAAACAGGGCATTAATACAGCTGTGAAGTAAGTAGTAGCCACAATTAACAAACTGCAACACAAAACATACTAGCAGAAAAATCTATGAAAATATGACTGCCAAAGCCAGAAATACAACATCTGGCTTTTCCCAAATTCCTAGATTGAAATTCAAAGGCATTCCACCACCACTCGCTGCTTCTCATAAATGGTTCGATAAAACATTGTGCAAAGATTACTTAATATACTTGTGCACATAATCATTTAGAAGTTTAATGTTTGGGTTGGAGCTCTCAAAAGATGAGTACACACATTAGGCTTTGAATTTAGCATCAGCATGATGCCAGGTCATGTCATTAGAATCCATCACAAATTTATGAACTTCAAAGAATTCAAATTTCTTGCTGATCAAGGAGCTAAAATAATTCTTGGGATGGAAGAGTAGGAGAAATCCAAATTGGAATCCAGCACCTTATTAAGAGTGCATTTTCCAATGCTAGCAGCACTTCTCTTTTGCGGGCAAAGTAGCTGAGGTGGGAGCATGAAATTTAGACCAGAGAAATAGACACCCAGTTAACTTCCATGATTATAAGCAGCACGATCAACCAGCTGGGGATTGAACAAACCATAAAGGCTTAGAAACCAAATATTTTCAGGCATCACAAGACCCTTCAGCACCCGTACGTAGTAAATATCCCAACTCAGCTCAATACGGTAAAAACTATGCTTATTCGCAAATATGTAAAGAAAATTATCTTAATGTCCAATTCACAGCATTCCCTGAAACATTAAAATTCTAACGCCACCTCAAATGGGAGGCTGCTCAGAAAAATTAAAGCTCATAGGGCAGAGGAATGAGAGAGTTGGATGCAACATTGAGGGTCAGTGATCATAAATAATTAAGGTAATGATCAACAGATGTTTTTGTGAATGGAAAGCAGTTTCCAGTGATATTCCACAGGGGTCAGTGTTGTATCCCTTGCATTTTTGCTTATTAATTTATCATTTTGATTTAAAAATTTTAAACATGATTTGGAAATTTGCATATGACAAAAATCGGTCATGTGATTGACAAAGAAGTGGATGGCTGTTGACTGCTGGATGATATCAATAGCTTGGCTAAATGGGTGGAGAAGTGACAATGGAATTTAATTTGGAGAAGTATAAGGTCATGCATTTGGGAAAGCAAACGAAGCATGGAAACACACAATAAATGGTATGGTATGGAGAGTAGTACAGGTAGGTGCAGTGCACCCCCACAGGTCCCTGAAGGTGGCAGATGGGTGATAAAGATGCCATATGGGGTTCTTTCCTTCACTGACTGAGGTATTGAATACAAAAGCAGGGATACAATGCTGGAACTATATAAGACAATGGTGAGGCCACAACTGGAGTTGAGTGCAGTTCTGGTCATCAGATACAGGAAGTACATAAGTGCTTAGAGCGCAGAACAGAGGAGGAGAGGAGTGTTGCCAGGGCTTGAAAACCACAACTATGAAGAAACATTGGACAGGCTAGGAGATAGTAGGAAGCAGGGTCCAGACCTGAAACGTCAGCTTTCCTGCTCCTCTGATGCTGCTTGGCCTGCTGTGTTCATCTAGCTCTACACCTTATTATCTCAGGATTAAAAGCTCAGCAGCTTTTCATACTTCCTGCAACATTTGCAAACATTCAGTTCTGATGAAGGGTCACTGGACCCAAAATGATGCCAGACCTGTTAAGTTTCTCCAAAATGTTTTGATTCACAAATCCAGGTTTGCCAAGCAAGATTCCTACTAAACAGCATCACCTTTTATTGGTTCTTATTGCGAAAGGTGGGAGAGGAGATGCTGGGATCAAAAGACATCTTGGTGTGAAAGTAATATGCAGTTGGTTATGTGCAGTAACTGAGCAGATATATAGAAAGATTGTCACAAAGAAAGATGTATGCAGCATATTATTCAAAACCAGGTTGCTGACAATTTTGAATGCAGCATGTGATAAAACATAAACGCGGTGAGTTACTTACCTGACTGGCACCTTTGTTTGTTCCCATCTGGAGGCTTATGGTTGTTTGATCGTAAGGTTTCTCAGTATGAGTCTTCGGATCATAAAGGTGTCTTCTAGTGCCATAGGCTGTCATACCTGCTTGGCTAGCACACTTGTTGGTTCCCATCTGGAAGCAAATAAGTTTGCTTAATGTTACATCAAACTGAAGACATGTGCCTTAATACAAGAGTGTCATCAACATCTCAGTTGAACTCAGACAACATTAATCTTTCTAACAGGATTCTAAAGGACCATGTCTAGAATTTTGCCGAGCCTGACCCACTGGTCAGAGAACCAGTAGGGAACTCAATTTCCTCGGGGCAGAGCAACAGGAGAGTGTGAAAGCAGCCTGTCAGAATCGGTGGACACCAATGGGTATCCATACGATAAGGTCCATGGCGGCAGTTGACTTGCCAGCCAGAAGTTGCTGTCCAGAGGCCACAAGCTTGTCATTGTCACCAGCAAGAATGCATCTGCCAGGTGACCAGGCCATCACCTTGGATCCTCCAGTCAAATAGTGGTAGGGTGGGGCTGCAGGGTGGGAATAATCAACAACCATACAAATCAAAACTGAGGAAGCAGATCCAACATCAGTGCTTCCCAAACTTTTTTCCACTGTACCCTTATTGAGGCTTTAAAGGATGGGGTATATTTCATTTGGTGGAGGAGGTGGAGAAACGGTGGAAGATGACAGTAGAAGAGAGATTTGACAGCCTACTTTTGACTGGCCTTTTTGTGTCAGAAATAAGACCTTGGTCAGTTAGGCTGTGCCCGTTACTGTAAACGTGCAAGGATTTAGTAACTGTTAACACTTGAGCAGAGCTATGCAGACAGAATAGCTAGCTTTGAGCTCACCTGGGGTCAAAATATTTTTTAATCACCAAGGACCCCTCAAGATTTTCTTGAGGGCTACATTTTCATTCTCACTAGCTCCTTTATTAGGTGATACAGTCACTTCTTTTAAGTGCTAACTTAAGATTATTTGAACTCACTCAGAAGCAGAATTAGAAGAATTTAACTATTTTCAGAAAACATTACCACTCAATTAAACAAAACCACAACATGCAGGGAAACACCACATGATAACAGGTGTAAATTAGTGTCATTTTTTAAAAAATTGTTGCTAATAATCAAAATGCCATCTCCATAAATTTGTTAACTATGGGCTGGGGAGGTTACAGCTATTTAATTGCACGTTTATTTCTAACAGTCACTGTACTCGCCCCCCCATTTTGCTTGATCTCACTTTTGCACTGACCTCAATCCCATTGGAAGACAAAACTACCTCACAAATGCAAATAATCAATGGCTACCTGAAGTCCAATTACACTTTGTCCAGCCTTCAGTTTTTCCTCCTTGAAGTGCCTTTCCTGTTTATCTGCATATTTAACACCAATGTCCATTCTTGTGTGAAAGCCTTTCGTTTTTGCCTGCTCAAAAGAAATTAAGTATGATGACATTAAATGCAGGCCTGAAGGTAACTAACAATTCAAACAATGCTTCCTTTTGAACAATATTTGAAAGCAACTTACAAACAATAACAGCAAATTTACACATGGAAATGAAGACTAAAGGAGGAATGGAGTCAAACAAAACACAATTCTGCAAAGTAGTTGCCTATGGAACGGCTTCAGAATCTACAGGTGAACTCCAGTAATAAATCAGAAATATTCCTTGTATGTAAATCAAATTTATCTAAATTCAATCAAAATGACACTTTAATTTCTCCCAATGCTCTCTACCACCTTACCACATGCTCTCTAAGTTTAACTGCTAAGGGAGAAATATTCTTTTTGCCAATCTGCTTAGTCAAAAACCTAGTCACAACTTCCTTAGTGAAACTTTGAAGGTAGAAATTTCAAACTTGCAAATAAAACAGATTTACTTTAAATGTTTGTAGTTAATTGATGTTTAATTGCCTGCCTCATTTTATGTAAACATTACAGCACACCGTTTTCTTAGTCACCCAATTCCTCCTGTTGATTATGAGCCAGCTGAAACTACTACTGGACAAGTCAGATCCCAGAATGAAATCTGGTTTGACAGGTCATATCTATTTGCTTGTCATTTAACATGGCAGTCTTTCACTGAAACATGAACATGACTGCAAATTTGTTTTCAGCAGTAAAACAGAAAGTTAAAGCACAAGAAGAATAAAATTAAGATCAATCAAACCAAGCTAAATAAGTTTAAAAGTTTTCTAAACATGGCAGGACAAAATCCTATGTATACCACAGTATCATCACTGGACAGTTGCTCAAAATCCACAGAAATTTTTCTTCTCTGTTCAATCTGTAGGTTTGACTTAATTGCTTCTTTTCAGTTCCTGACCTGTAGGCTGCAAAGTCCTAACCAAACACTCCTGGTCTGGACGTTTCACAAACAACAATCTTACACAGAGGCAACTTATTCCCGTAACTGTTATGAACAATCTCATCTTTTAGCAAAGACTATACTTACATCTGACTTCATCAGGTCTCCTTCCAACTGAATGACCAATTTTTTTGAACTAAATTTTAAAAATGCTGCTCAACCTAAATTTTGTTGAAGCCAGTAGATTAAATGTATCCAGTCTCTTGTCATAAACTTCAGGGGCGCTTGCTGCTCTCTCTGACACACACAGGCTTTAGAGTAATCATTAAGACTGACCCCATTAATTTTTAAAGCCCATTACAAAACCAGACAAACAGCCTAATTTAAAACACAAACCCCAAAGCGTTATATAAAAATCATACATCTTTCATCACACCTCCCCAAAAGAAGGAGAAGTTATATTTTAAGACAAACTTTCATTTTCCAGCATGGGTTCAATTCACAAACTGAGGTTACCATGAAGGACTTTCCTTCTCAATCCTGCCCCTCGCCTGAGCATGGTGACTCTTAGGTCAAAACATCACCAGCTGTCTCTCTCTAATGGAGGATAGCCTATGGTCTGATAGGATTATGGCAATTTACATCAACTGAATTTCGTGGTAACCATATTTGTAGAAAAGTCCAAATGCACTCCATTTTCTTCATACTTGCTCTTGAAGAAGTGTCCACTGTAACACTGTCTTTTTCAGGCGCATAAATGATTTTTAAATTGCACGGTTGAAGGATAAAGCTTCTTTGAAACAACTGCAAGTTTCTGCTTTCCAAAAAAAAATGCTTTGGTCCAAATGGATAAGAACTTCTATCACATTGTTGGGAATGCATATAAAATCAATATAAGACATTCTGTCCTTAAATTCAAAGGAGCCATGGCATTTAAGAAGTTCAGAACAAACATTCAATAATATCCATTAATGCTAATATTTCATAAAATTTCAGACTTTGTCCTAGGTACAAGAAAATCCAAAATAGCCCGGACTTACAATTCTTTTGGTGCTGCTTGGCCTTGTATAACAGTCTGGCCCAAGTCATTTTTGCTTTTACAAATTCATTCTTCACCAGATTTATAACCAAACTTGATATTTGTAGCTGATCAAACAGTTCAGTGAAGTAGAGATGTTTTTCCCCAACTGGTTGTATTCAGGCAGTGTAAATCACGCAGATACGTAAGCTCTCAATTACTTTACACGTTAATCATTAGGACGCTGCTGGTACATGTTTTGCCTCAAACAGCCTGACTTTGCACTCAAACTTTATTACAAAAGTTGA